CGTCCCAGAACCACTTCCCTGGTGAGGCCAAGGCTGTGGGCGGGAAGGAGATGTCCTAGCCGTGCCGTAGCCAACTCACCAGGTGGGCACAGGGGTAGCTCCCGCAGCTGGCCCGAGAGCTTAGAGCCCCGTCAGGAGCCCATCCCGAGGTGTGACGTCTGGACTGGACCTGAGCAGGCGCTGAGCACGTGTGTGTGGCCCTAACAGAGCAGGGAGTCCAGGCAAGAGGTCGGGATTTGGAGTCGGGGGGCACGTGGCAGGCTGGCCCGCTAAGGTGAGGGGCTGAGGGGCCACCCTGTGTTTCTGGGCAAGAGCCCCCCGGGGTGGGACTCCAGGGCTGCAGTTCTCCTGGAGCTGGTTTCCTGCAGCCCCTCTGTGGGGCTCAGCTGGGAAACCCTAACTCTAGGAGCTTCCCGGAGCTGGGATTCTGTTACTTTGCAACCTGGATTCACATAATGCAACAGATACCTGGGTTGGCAGCCAGTGAGAACCCTGAGCTGCCAGGGAGGGGCTGTGGTGCTGCGGATGCAGGGGGTGGACAGGGACGGGGCGGGAGGACCAGTGAGGTCGGCAGAGGGGTCCCCCTGGATGGAGGTGTTGGGTGGGGTGGCACCAGGCCCGGGCGTCTCCTCCGCAAACTTCACTGGGGTTATGACAGTGGGGGCTTTGCTGGTCTTCAGGGCTACCGGCCACACAGGCTTTACAAAAACCTGGCAATTGGCGACTGGGAGAGGGCACCGAGCCAGCCCCTGCCATTAACCCCCTGGGTCAGCGCCACCTTCCAGGAAGCAGAAAAGCTGCGGTCTGGTGCCCCCTGCTGGGAGGCGGCGACACCGCCGTGCCCTAGGAGGGTCACCTGGAGGTGCAGGGCCAGGTGGGGGCCGTCACCTGGACGCACACGGGGCAGTGATGTGCACAGCTGGCCTCGAAGTGCTAGGAGCTAAAGGTGCAGCCAGGGCTTCGCCCCAAGGCTCTGGACCCTCCTGACACGGCAGCTGGCTGGGGGCTCAGAGGATCTGCCTCCCACACGCCCCTTACCCCTCTGCCAACTCCGGTTTGCGGGGAAGAGATGGGGGAAGGGAGGGGAGAAGAAGATGGCTACACAGATGACAGTTGGAGACGATGGCAGGTAACACATGATGGTTAGATGCAGATGACAGGCGGTAATGGTTGACATAGATACAGATGATGGGTGGGTGGAGACAGGGAGGGAGACGGAACAATGACACACAGGAGGGGCCTCTCTGTGTCCCAGGGAGGCCGCCCCGCTGTACACTCCCGCCGGCACTGTGCGAGGTCCCGGTGTCTCCCCATCCTCACCGACACTTGCTGCTGTCTGATTTTTAAATTCTAGCTGTCCCTGGACCCCTTCGCGTCACCTGCTGGGTGTGGGGTGCGTCTCGCTGTGGCCGAGTGGCATTTCCTGGTGACTGGCGATGCCGAGCATCCTTTCACGTGCTCACTGGCCGTTTGTGTCTCCCTTGGGGAAATGTCTGTGTAGACCCTTCGCCCGATTTTTAGTGGGGTCACTTGTCTCCATCACCATGGAGAGGCCCCAGCCTGTCCTGGGGAGACCCCTGTGGACCCCACCTCCCGCAGGGTTCCCGGGTCCAGCCCCACTCCCAGAAAGTGGTGCCAAACTGGCTCCGCAGGGCTGTTCCCGGGGAGTTTCCCTCCCTAATCCTCTCCTGGGCAGAGCTCTTTAGAAACGCCAGCGGGGCGGGGGGGTGGCAGTGGGGGGCTGTAGACCATCTTCCTCCTGATTCTCTGTTCTCTGGGCGATAAAAACATTCTCCTTTCGTTGGGAGTGGGGCAGCGGCAGGAGTTGCCTGGGTGCGGGCTTGCTGTAAAACAGGAACTGTTCCTGCCACAGGGAGCCGTCGTGGGGTGGCACGCCCCGCCTGCATTGTCAGGCTTCGTTCACACTGGGCTTCCCCTCTTGGGAGCCGGCTCTTGGGACCAGAGCCGTCCCCCTGTGCACACTCGGGCATGCAGTGCAGGCCAGGCCTCACAGCCCCAGCCCCCTCCTTGGGGGAGGCCCTGGGTTCCCCTCTGTGGGCCTGGCCGGGAGGAGGGGGTGGGGGCTGGCGCCAAGAAGAGTGTGGTCACAGCTGCCAGCACTCTGGGAGGGCCTGGAAGGCCAGCAAGGCTGGGGGGCCCCAAGGCCTGGGCCCGTCCCTGCATGGCTTCCATCTTGCCTAACACTGGCCCGACCCTCGCGTTGCTCAATCCGGAGCCACCAAGCCACAGGGGAGGGGAGCAGGGGTCCGGTTCCCGCTCCTCCCCCATAGGCGTTGGGGCCAATTCAGTCAAGTGGTCCCTGCGTGGAGCCATCTGGGATGATGGCCACGACCTTGGAAGGCCACCCCGCAACCCTCAGGCCGAGATGCTCAGACTGACTGTGAGAGGTGGGCAGATGGCAGCTCTGCGTCCAGGCCATCAGGAGGTTGTGATGCCAGGGCCCATGTGGCCCCCGTGCCCTGCCCCTTGTGGTGTGGTCTTCCCAGCCCTCTCCTGGGTGGCCCACTGGCTGGGCCCTCACCACCATCCTCCGCATCTGTGCTCATGGCCCCGTGTGGACCCCCTTCCTGGACCTTGCATTTGCTTTGGTGGCCCCACCGCCACCCCAGGGCACCTGGGGCAGAACCCGGGGGCCTGACTCCACCCCAGTGGCCTCCTTGGCGCCACCAGGCCCTGAGGCCCAGTCCCTCCCTGGGGAGCGCATCCTGTGTCTGCTCCCCCTCCACGGGTGTGTCCCCCACACAGATGTCTCCCCTGATCCCCAGCCCCTCAGGACAGGGTCTGGCCCCCTGGGTCTGACCTCGAGAACCCTCCACCTTGCCAGCCACTTGGGACCTGGAGGCATTAGGCCTGAGGCCTTTGTCCCACCATCTTCCTCACCCATACCCCCCAGGGAGCTGGTGCTGACCTGGGCCTGTGGCTGGTTAGGCTCCCTGCCTCTTCCTCCTTGGGACATCGACCTCGCATGGGGGACTGTGGGGTTGCAAGTATCTGCCCAGGAGGGCAGGAGGGGCCAGATTCAGGCCCTGGCCAGGGCTGGGCACTGGGGTTTGGGGTCATTGAATGGACAGGCCCATTCATGGGACCTGTGGAGCTTGCAGGAGGGTGGCTAGGCCGGCGTCCCGGAAGAGAGAGGGCAGGAGCAGAGCCCCTGTGGCTGGTGCAGCTGAGGACAGTGAGGGCAGAGCTCGGCCGCACAGGCCCAGAGGGCTGGGCAGAGGGGCTTAGGAGCTCTCAATGGACACAGCTTGGATTTCCTTTGGCTTTGGGGAAGAAAACACACACCCAGATTTGGGCTGTGGGGTTTCCAAGGTGGCTGGCACCCTCCCTCTACTTCCATCTGTCCCCAAATGAGATTGATCCAGACAGCCTGGGCCCTGTCCCTGTTCCTGGGGATGGGAGGTGGAGAGGGAGGGAAGAGAGGTCAGTGGGCGAGGACCTTGGGCCCGTAAGAGACCCCCTGCTGATCAGAGTGGCCTGTGGGCCTCCTGCGTGGGGGGCGTGCTCAGGGGATGCTGGAGGTGACGCTGCCCTCGGGGGCTGCTGCCCAGGCAGGAGGCCCGGGCAGGGGGAGCAGGAAGCTGCACCAGCAGGGGACCAGGGATGAGAAGTCAAACCAGTACAGGTTGTCGTGTTCCACCTAGAGACGAACCGAACTTACAAAACTCCGTAATCCCATGTAGGGCCAGATGGTGCCACTGGTGGCCACATGTCAGTGTAGCCCTGGTGCAGGGCGTTTGTGAGGGTGTGTCAGCCTGTCAGACGCTGGTATCCATGGTCCCAGAGATGCCCCTCTGGGCGTGACTCCAGCCAGACATGCGGAGGTGCAGATGCGTGGGCAGCTTGTGTGGCCTGTCCATGGTCCAATGGACTGAAAATGCCCAGCTGCCCCCAGGCCAGTGACTGGGTGAACAAGGTACGGCCCAGTGGAACTTTGGAGTAGAAGGCAGCCACCAAGAAAGGAGGTGATCTGTGTGTTAACGTGGAGGTACATAGGTTTGTTAGGTGACACCATACAACCAACAGAAACCCCAGTGCTGACTGAGGGACTAGGGATTCCGTTGCTGTAAGATGCCATGGAGCATGGACTATTCTGGAAGGTGCTGAGGAATCGTCTGCTAATGTGGATGTCTGGAAGGTGGGAGGGAGGGGCTCTGATTGTTCAGACTGGTGTTTCCATTTGCTTCTAACAGGATGTATTGCATTAAAAATTTAAGAAGAAAATGGAAAGAATTTGAAAAGATGCTGAGGCCTGCAGAGGAGGGGACACTCAACTCTGGGGGGAGGTGACATCAAAACCAGGTTTTTGTTACCTATCATCTCCCCCATGTCACCCTCCTGCGGGGGCCCCTAAGCCTGTCGGATGCAGGATGGGTGTCCAGCTCGCTGTGCCCATGCTGGGCCTGTCTGTGGGTGCCGCCGTCTGGGTACAGTCTGAGGGTGGAGGGCACAGCAGGACTCTGGGGCCTGAGCCCCTGGCACACTGAATGTCACCGCAGGCTGTCTCTTGGTGGGGGCGGGATAGTGTGAGCACTCTGGCCCCAGCACTGGAGGCGCCGCCTGCAGCAAGCACTCCCAGTGTCCCAGGGGACAGTCGGGGTGGAGGGCCCGGCAGGCTCCCGCCCTCCCGCACCAGCGACTGCACCACGACCCCCTGGGCGGCCGGGTACTGGGCTAGCTCAAGCCCCCTCCAGGGTGTCGGTGGCACCGCCCCGGGCGGGTGCAGGGCGGGCGCGCTGGGTGCAGGGCTGCGCGGGAGGAGGCCGCCCGCCCGCCCGCGCCGCTGGGGGCCGCCCTCGGGCCGTGCCGGCCAGAGCGCGCCGTGCGCCCGGGGCCCCGCGCCGCACACGCTGGGCGGCCGCGGCGGCGACACGAGCGAGCGGGCGGCGGCAGGAATGCGGAACCGGCGCGCGGGCTGAGGCACCCGGGATGGCGCAGGGGCGGCGGGCGGCCTGCGCGGGGTCCTAGCGAGCTGGCAGCGGCGGCGGCGCGGGGACAGCGGCCATGGCCGGGGAGCGGCGCGGGGCCGTCCTGGAGCTGCTGCGGCGGCCGGGGAACATGCGCTGCGCCGACTGCGGCGCCCCGGGTAGGTGCGGGCCCGGGACGGCGGGTGCGGGCTGGGCCCTGGGCACCGGGCGGGGTACCCCGCGGATGCCTTGGGGATGGGGCGCTGGCCACCCGCAGGTCCACACGGCCGGGGCGCGGCTGGGGCGCACCTGCAGGTACCCGGACATCGCCCCGGCGTGGGCCGAGCTGGCGGGTACCTCCCGCGCCCCCGCCGGCCGCCGCCTCCCCTCCCCCGCCGGGCTGCGTGTCTCGCTGTCACCCGCGGGCCGCCCGCTGTGTTGCGAAACCTCGGCTCCGAGAAGAAAGAGGAAATCGCGGCGGGCGCCGGCTACAGGGAAAGAAGGGGCCAGCCGCCCGGGGATGTCTGCGGGGGCTGTGGGGTCCACCTGGCTCCCCCCTATCCAATGGTGACGTCATGCCCTCCCAGCTGCACCCCCTAGGAGCCACCCTCTTGCACTGCGCCCAGACCTGGGAGCCAGAAGGCACCCCTCCCCCAGCACCTGCACCTGGCTGCTCAGGGGCAGGTGGCCAGGACAGGTGGGGCCCCGGAAGGGTGGGGCCTGGAGACAGGCCCTCAGTCCACCTGCCACCCCGTCCTCCCGGCCAGGCATCTTGAAGACTGTGTTCCTTGGTGGCCCTGCTCTGGGGTGATTTCCAAGGTGCTAGAGTCCAAAGGCACTAGAGTCCCCTCCCTTCCGGACCACTTGTCCTGCTATTGGCTGTACCCGGAGCCCTGGGCTCTCAGATCAGCCCTGACTCTGCTTCTGATCTGTCGGGTGAGGACCAGGCAGGGCCAGTCCCTAGAGGCTCACCCACTCATGCCGCCCACAGAGGGGGCTGGCCTCACTCAGGACTGTCCCCCAGGCATACCAGGAAGGTGGGGATTCCAGACTGAGCCCCTCAGAACAAGCCTCACCGTGGGAGGCAGGGCAACCGCAGACCCCGCACATGGGGGCAGGCTCGCCCTCGACGCTGGGCAGTGCCCTGCCAGCCCGGCTGGTTCACCCCAGACTCTCCCCACCGCCTGTTCCAGACCTGTATTTCCACTTGCTCGGGAACACTTACTGTGCCAGGGAGAGGCGGATGAGAGCGGCAGTCAGCTCACCAGACTCTCCGGCCTGGCCTGGGGCTGGCCCAGGGAAGGAAGTTGCCCTTGTTCTTGAGCCTCTCCCAAGCTGGCCACACTGCTCAGGGCAGCTTCTCTGGACACAGAGCCCCTCTCCAGCCACCCTTGGGGCCTCCAGCCTGGTAGGAGGAAGAGGGGCTTCCCTGGCCTGGCGGGCCCTGTAGTGGCGCTCTGTCCCAGGGGAGCTGCTGTGCCAGCCTGGCCCCTCTGTCCAGGGCTGGTGTCCTGCAGCAGCCTCACTCAGCTCTGGGGCACAGCCGGGGCTCCCCGAGGCCCAGCACTTCCTGGTGTTGGGCCAAGCCTCTGGGGTTTCAGGACAGGTCCGTGACATCACCATCCTGTCTGCTGGAGGCCTCATGGGGCAGGCAAGGCGAGTGGGTCGCTCCTGTTTCACAGCTGGGCAAATGGAGGCTCTTACGCTTGCGCTGTCTCAGGAGACACAGGCCCAGGCAGCCCAGGTCCCTCCTGCCAAGCCTCAGCCCAGGTGCTCTGCCCACACCGGCCTCTGCAATACCCCTGCCCGGGCTGTGGGATGGCCACGTGGGTACTCTGGTCTGCCCCTGTTCCGTGCTGCCATGGGGTGCAGCTGGGGCTCCATCTCTGCCGTGGCCCAGATGGTGACAAGGGCCACGCCGACAGTGATGGGGCAGGAGTGGGCAATGTGCTCCGCCGTCATCAGCACACACTGTCACGTGGGTGGATCATGGCTGCTCTTTCCGACCATGCCAGCAGGAGCAAAGCTTCACAAGCATGAGGGTCCCCACGGCACCCACTCTGGACAGCAGGGCAGGCCCAGGCCAATCTGACCACCAGGCCTGGGGCTTCTGGGGTAGACTCGGTGTGCACTTCTGCGGCATTAAGTACATTCGCAGACCCCCCTGCTGGCCATGTGAGGGCCTCTGGCTGCAGGCAGTCCCAGGTCTCTGCAGCTCCCACAGAAACTCCTCCCAAACCCTCCCCATTATCTGCCCTCTGGTGGGCTCCCCCGACCTTGAACATGGGGCCCTACCCAGCAGGCGCCCAGAGAGACTTTTCTCACTGCAGGGCTGACTGGGTGGGTGGGTGTACTTGCGTCCACTCTCCTGCGAGACCTGGGTGGGGGGGTCTCGGTCCTGGGTGGGGAGGGAGGAGGTAGCTCTGCGTTTCCTCCGAGATGTCTGATTGGAGCAAGTGACAGGTTCTCCCCTTTGAGCCGTAGGCTGTGCAGTGCCCAGGAAGGGCTGGTGTGTCTCTGCCCTGTAATTGGGTTGGGGCGTGGGTGACAATTCTGTGGTACTTTGAAGCCTGTCACCTGGAGCACCTGGGCCTCCGGTTCCGGAGGTCTGGCTCTAAGAGGAGATCTTTGTTTCTAACGAGATCAGATGGTTTGGGATCATCGTGTGGAAGCCCAGGTGTTCAGGAGTCGCTTGTTCTTTCTACACGGGGACCTGAAGCCCCAGCCAGATCCAGCCTGTGAGGTGGCCCCAGGATCCAGGGATGACAGAGCACATGCCCCTAAGGCCCCTGGGGTAGACTCAGAACTCCAGCTCCTTGTTCAACCCAGGAAGGCTTCAGGGCAGAGGTGACATTTCAGAATGTGCTGGTGGCCAGGCAGATGCACCTTGATGGGGAGGAGTTTCAGGAATTTGGCCTAGTGTGGGTGGGGCTCTGCCAAGTGAGGGGCTGGGCAGACTGCTCCCACCCCCGAGGACAGCAGCCCAACTGTGTTTTTAAAAAATTTTTTTTATTGTGAGAAAATATATATAACATAAAATCTACCCTTTTAATCATTTTTAGTGTGCACTTCCGTGGCATCAAGCACATCCAAAGTGTTGTGCCGCCGTCACCACCGTCCACCCACAGAGCTCTTTCCATCTTCCCAAACTGCAACTGTCCCCGTGAAACCCAACGCCCCAACCCCTCCCCAGCCCCGCACCCTCCGTCCTCCTGCCTGTCTCTGTGAGTCTGACTCCTCTGGGGACCACGTGTGGGTGGAATCACGCAGGATTTGTCCTTCTGCGACGAGCTCTCTCAGCGTCACGTCTGCGGGGCTCATCGGTGTCGAGGCAGGGTCAGGATGCCTTCCCTTTAACTGCACGATATTCCGCCGTCTGGACAGACCACACTTTGCTTGTCCGCTCGCCTCCAGCGGACACTTGCGTTGCTGCCACTTTTTGGCTGCCGTGAGGAATGCCGCTGTGAACATGGGCGTGCGAATATCCGGGTCCCTGCTTCCGATTATTTTGCGTTTATACCCCGCAGTGCAGTTGCTGGATCACATGGTAATTCTATGTTTAGCTGTTTGAGGAACCGCCAGACTGTGTCCCCCTACCTGGTTTTGTGCTCAGGCCAGCAGGACCCACGCGTGCCTCCCACCCTGTGGGCAGGCGCTGGCTTTGGCCTCAGAGGCATTTACTGAGCCTCTGTGCCAGGTACTTGCCAGGCAGGTGCGTCACCTGTGAGGTGGCGGCATGATCCCATTTCGCACGTGGAAGAACCAGTGCTCGGAAACAGGAAGGGACTGCGGCAGGGTCCAAGGGCGGCAGAGGTGGCTTGTGGCAGTGCTTCTGCGGGAGCAAAGAACACTGTGCGTTGTGTGTCTTTCTCTAGAACGTTCTTGGTGGGGGGTGGTGCTCAGCATTGGGAGAGGGCTGAGGAGTTGGGGGGCTTACATTGGTGGGCCTGGGAGTCTCAGCCAGGGGGGGAGGGATGGGGGCGTGGGTGGGAGGAGGGAGGTGGGCGGAGCCTTCCCAAGGCTCTGATGTGGGTGCTTAGAAGGGCAGATGGGAGAGCGTCTGGCCTGGGCGTGGAGCCTTGGGCAGGCTGTGGGGTGGCTGGGGTGTGGTGAGGAGAGAGGGAGCTGGCCCCTCTGGGAGTTGGGGGGAGCAGGAGGAAGGAGCTAGGGGCCTTGGGCTTTGTGTGACAGAGCAGCAAGAAGGCTGTGTGCCAGGAGCAGAGCAGGGCGGGAGGCTGCAGGGCCACTCAGGCCTTGGGGACCCTGGGCCTGGGCTTTGGCTCTGGGTGTGGTGGGAGCCATGGGAGGCGTGTGAGCAGGAATGTGCTGAACCAATGGCTGTCACAGGATCTGGGGGAATAGGCCAGCCAGGAAGCAGGAGGCATCTGGGACACTGCTGCCAGGACCCAGACGAGGGACGGTGGCTTGGTGTGGGGGTGCTGTGCGGTGGGGGGTCCAACCCTGAGTCTGTGGAAGTGGGGGCAACAGGATGTGGAGTGTGCTGGGCAGAGCAGCGGGGCCTGCCACGGTGTGGGAGAAGCTGGCGGGGCAGAGGGGACAGGCCTGAGCGTGTCGATGAGAAGCCTCTGCCCGACGTCCGAGGGGACGGGGCCACTGAGGAAAGAGGCCAGGGGTAGAGATGGGGGCATCAGTGCGTCAAAGTCTTTGTCTTCTATTTGTTTTTTAAAGAAATCGATGTGAAATTCACATACGATAAAGTTCGCCATTTGAAAGTGAAACTCCAGTGGCATCTAGGATGCTCACAACGCGGTGTGAACGGCACTCTCATCTAGTTCCCAGAGCACGGCTTTCACAGTGCAGAGACCAGCCGAGGTGCAGAGAGTGCCCGGCAGGGCTGCGGAGGCTGGGCCTGGGTCCAGGGATCACTGGCCTTGACTGCGGGGCGGAGGGGACAGCCCAAGGATGGCGGCCGGAGGGTTACGTGGGGTGGTCGAGGGAATTCTCATGTGGAGCGTGTTTGGGTGCTGCTGGGATGACCCAGGAGGGACTCCAGGGCCATGGGAGAGCTGGCTGCAGGGAGCGGGGCAGGAAGGGGGAAGGGCTGGGGGGCTGAGCATTCAGGGGCCCACAGAGGCTCAGGCACACCTACTGTGTGTGGGACCACAGTGCCTACTGTGTGCGGGGACCCATGGTGCCTACTGTGTGCAGGCCCTGCCCC